AAAAAGGATGGCATTCCAGGGGTTGAAGATGCAAGGTATAAGGTACGATTAGTTGCAAAGGGCTATAGTCAGATACAAGGAGTTGATTTTAATGATATTTTCTCACCTGTTGTTAAACATAGCTCTATTCGTGTCTTGCTTGACTTCGTTGCCATGTATGATTTGGAATTAGAACAACTTGATGTTAAGACAACTTTCTTACATGGCGAACTTAAGGAACAAATATACATGCATCAACCCGAAGGATTTGAAATTGAAAAAAAAAAAGATCATGTTTGCTTGTTGATGAAATCCTTGTACGGATTAAAGCAGTCTCCAAGACAATAGTATAAAAGGTTTGATTCCTTTATGTTGGGTCATGGTTATTCGAGAAGCATGTATGATAGTTGTGTTTACTTTCGGAAGTTAAATGATGGTTCATTTGTGTACCTATTATTATATGTTGATGACATGCTCATTGCTGTTGAGGATTTAACAAAAAATCACAACTTAAAAAGTTAGCTGAAAAGTGAATTTGAGATGAAAGATTTAGGAGCAGCTAAGAAAATCCATGGCATGGAGATCAAAAGAGATCGAAAAACCAACAGGCTATTTCTGACCCAGAAGAAGTACCTGGAGAAAGTCTTGGAGAGGTTTGTCATGAAAGATGCTAAACCAGTTAGTACCCCTCTTGCTGCTCATTTTAAGTTATCAACTGCTCAGTACCCACAGTCAGAGGAACAAGAGAGGTACATGGCACAGGTTCCTTATTCCAGTGCAGTCGGCAGTATTATGTATGCAATGGTTTGTACACGTCCAGACATTTCACAAGCAGTGAGCGTGGTAAGCCGGTATATGGCTTGCCCTTGTAAAGCACATTGGCATGATGTGAAATGGATTCTCAGATACTTGCGAGGTACTTCAAACAGATATTTGGAGTTTGGGAGAAATACTAACACTTTGTTTGGTTTTGTAGACTCAGATTATGCAGGTGATCTTGACAAAAGAAGATCACTGACATGCTATGTATTTTGCATCGGCGGTTGTGCTATTAGTTGAAAAGCTATATTAGAACATGTAGTAGCTTTATCTACTACCAAAGCAGAATATATGGCAGTGATCGAGGCGATCAAAGAAGCTTTATGGTTGAAGGGTCTATTTGCGGAACTCAGTTTACACCAAGGTGGTATTACCATTTTCTGTGATAGTCAAAGTGTCATTCACTTGACTAAAGATCAAATGTATCATGAGAGGACGAAGCACATTGATATAAAGTATCATTTCGTCCGAGAAACCATTGCTGAAAGAAAAGTCTCTGTTCAGAAGATCAACACTAGAGACAGTCCTGATGACATGTTAACAAAACCTCTTCTAGTGTCCAAGTTCAAGTTTTGCCTGAACTTGATTGGCATTTATGAAGAATGATTTTGCCCATTGGGGTTTTTGTGGAGAATGTGGAGCAAATTTACTATATATAAGCCAAAATTAGGCCAAGGTGGAGATTTGTAGTATGGCCAAATTTTTATGATATTTTTCATGACATAATATCCATTATAACAAAATTTGTGGATCATGACATTTGCCATGACATAATATCCACTATTAGGTCAAGGATTTCTTGCTATAAATAGAGGAGCTTCTCCTCAATTACAAACACACCAATTCAAGAGTTTTTCACTCTTGTCTTTCTTTCTCCTCCTTTATTTCATTATAGAGTATTTTGTAAGAGAGTGAGTGTTGGGAAACACTTGTGTGAACCCTTTCTTTGGAGTGATCTTGTGAAGTTATTCTCTTGGGGTATTTGGGACTAATTAGAATATTTACTCTAATTTTGTACTCTCTCTTGTACTCTTGGTGGTATAGTAAAATTGTTCCTCTCCGCTTGTGGACATAGGTTACCTTGACCGAACCACGTTAAATTTGTGTCTTCTTTATCTTCTTTAATTACCGTTATTATCAACTTGCATTGTCTTTGTTATTGTCATTATAACGTTGTTTGGCTAAATTCAACACTACCCGGTAACCCGATCCTAACAATTCATACAGAAGAAAAGGTTCTCTATTGATTCAAACATTATACCTAACCTATGGGATAGGGATCGAGGAAGGAAAAAAACCGAAGATTTCACATGGTACTTTTATCAATTTGATTTATTGAGTTCATAAAGAAATTAAGTCTATATATCACGTTCAAATTACTGCATTATTATTATTGGCCATGTACTTGGAAACCCCCTATTTGCTAATAAACATATTGGCCTACTTCCACACCAAATATATCGTATAATCCCTTTAGAGTATTGATGGAACATAATAGAATATCTATATTGCCTTGCCCTCTGAATGCATATAAACCAAGGCAAAATAACTACTACTAGGACATAAACTAAGGGAGAAATGAGAAAAAAGTAATAAGTGACCGTAATATCCAATTTAATAACGACGGGGACATTAGAAATTTAATAACGACGGGGACATCAGCCCCTTGTGTAATTTCATCCTTATCCTAATATTCTCTCGTATAGTCTTAAATAAGTCAAGATATTTTTTAATTACAAAAGGATATCATTAATGTGAAATAAAAACTTTAAGATTAAGTTGTTTCCAAAAAATAAAAATTATTCTCTTCGGAATAAAACAAACGGATAAGAACATCATATAAAATGTTCCTTCATTATTTTTCCTCTTTTATATAGGTCTCAAGTATTTTTGGATTTATTTGTCGGGGGTAGGATGACTTCTGAGATGACCAAGCGTTAGGCTATTTTTTGGGGATGGGCCTTTCTTTTTAGATCTCATTTCATTTTTCTAGCAGAGATTGAAACAATTCCCTTGCACAACAAGTTCTTTTGAACACTATTTTATAATTAAAATAGTGTGGACTTGGAATGTTTCTAATTAATTCCTCTCGACGTTTCTCTTGTCAGATGTAATAATCGTAAAAACTGTCACTAGGAATACACAGTCAAACAAACATCTAAAATCTAAATTAATATAGTCCTATGTTTTATGGATGATTGTTGAACACTCTAGAAGTTTTTTAATATCAAAATTATATTGCCAAGTCCTAGGATTTTGTTTTTGTCCTCGCTCGTGAACACGCTCAATCATATGCAATGTCTATAATTAAACAGCTTAACTAATATATACTGATATATTATTTAAGTGATATATCCATAGGTAAATATTCATATAAAATAGAAGAAGAATTAACTTAAATGGCCGTTCATCCAACCGTTTAAACTAAAAACAGCCGGCAAAAATATATAATTCATGTATGACATATATATAATCATGTATATCAGTGTATAATTTATGTATACTGTCTAGAAAAAATAAAAAGGGCTATTTGTGTAAAAATTAGTAACCAAAAATATAAAGTAATTACTTGATACAACATGTTAAACGACGCAGACATATTTTCCATTGTCAGCTTATACAAATTAAATTCATATTTTACAAACATATAATAAAAGGACAATGAATTATTGTGGAGATAAGAAAGGCTTCAGCCGCTCCATGACATCAAATGTTTGGCATGCTTTGGTTCTAAGTTAGGACCACTTAACGTAATCTATAACTAAACATTTAAGATATTTTTTGTTTTTTTATTATATTATTAGTTGACAATTTTTAAGCATATCATTTTCTCATCACAGACTGCATTGATGTTGTGACGTCCCAACTGTGAAATTAAGATGATTTCATGGGCCGGCGACTGGTCCCACTCTATGGATTAACAAAATAATTGAGGATTAAAAGCGTGCTAACGACACATTATAAAATGGATTGACTTTTTTTTCTTTTTTACTATTTGTTTTTGGGGGTTAATCCAACAAATTTGCTGCTTTGCAATAAATGCTTGAGTGATGTTTATCAACGGGGTTGGATTTAAGATTTAGAGAAGTAGATAGGCATAGGCGTAGGATAAAGCGTTTTATTCATAATGGGACGAGGTTTAACGTTAAAAATTTTAGGTTTTTAATCTTTTTAAAATAAAAATTAAATACATTAAAATATAAAAAAGTTATGGCTATATATCAATTACTTATATGTTGGATCTGCCTTTTCGTACAATTTATTAAATGTAAGAGCTAGCTATCTAAACTCCCAAAAGAAGAAGGGTGATTTGCACAAATAGGACACACCACTATTGATGTTTTAACCCTGTTGTTCCGTGGATAGTACTTCAAATTTAACAAGTGTGCTCATGAGGAAAGCGGGGGTCAAAAAATCAAGACCGTCCATTTCCAAAGTCATTTGGTATAATTTCCTGGAAAAAGATTTGAGCTTTCTTAAAAAAAGCATATTGATATTCCCCTTAGACCCACGTGTGAGACTACACTGGATATGTTGCTGTTGTTGCTGCAAAGTCCATATCAAACTAGAACTTGTTCATTAAAAAATATCTTCTTTTTTTTTGAATTTTTTTTTCAAATATGTCCATGAAATTTTGCAAGTTTTTGGAAATTTTTAGAAAATGAGTTTTTCAAAAAATATTTAAAAAAACTTTTTTCTCTACTTACAAAACTGTATATTTTTTCAAGTGAAATGCATGTCCAAACATAATTTTAAATTTCAAATATCATTTTTCAACTTAACTCCAAATATTACTTAAATCCAAACGCCTACCAAGTTATTGGGAAATGAAAGACAGACATCTAAAACTGTATGGAGTAGACAGAAATCTGAACAAGGAAGAGTCACGTTGTGTGTCCAAGACAGGCTACTAACTAACCATCACATTTACTAATGATATTGGTCGTGAAAAAACGTGGTACCAAATCTACTAAGCATATTGAAAGTGTTTCCATCACCATCATAATTTATAGAAGAACAGGAAAGGAAACAAAACAAAAGTGATGTTTTGCTAATGCCATGCATGAACCTAGATTTTTATGGCCGTTTCTTGAATATGTTGAGCAGCATTATTTTTACACCCTTTTGCAGGACAGCATGTTTTTGCTTGTTACAAAATACTTTTCTTGTACACTAGATTCCAACAAATGAAAAATCAATCAGAAGAGGAAATGCTAAAGTAATACTTTCAATAAATAACAACAACAAATTACAACATAGTATAGATCTGAAGTGAAGATCAAATATATACAGACACTTCTAGCTATTTTCTCCATCCTCGCAAATCAAAAATTAAGCTCGTGATGGAGGGACCGTCAAGAGTAGATCATAAAACTCTCTCTCTTGACATTGGTACTAAGGCAAACTACTCAAAGAAAACAAAACTATTACACTAAATCAAACACTGCCAATGCGAAAATATAAGGACATGACCAACTAAATACTGATGATACTAACATATGATCTTACAAAATGTGATACTTGTGTATGAAGAAGGAAACAAGTAAAATTGTCACCGCAAGAACGGCCTTAAATATGCAGCCATTTCGCGGACATGACAACTAAACTAAGGTGGATCAAGTGGAATAGGGTCCAAAAGAGAATCACTAAAGCCAAATGCAAGGGAAGTAAAGGGTTAAAAGGCTGTGCTATTGCAGGTTAAAAACTGCAACCAGATGAAAAGAGATGCAATATGAAATCACTGGTTTGGCCAGAAATATTCAACCGGTGAATGAATCCGAGGAGATCATTTAAAAACAGATCTCCTATGGCCAACACGTGAGACGGATAAGGACAAGAGAGGAGAAGGAAAACACCTAAATATCCTAATAGGCAAATGCATGAGAAGTGTGGAATTAACCTTTTCAAAAGAAAGGTCTCATAGGACAAGAAGGTGAAGATGGATCAGTATTATCATGAATATGCTGATTATGAGGATCAGAATTATGAGAATGGACATTCCCAAAGTGAAAATTAGGAGGAAAAATGAAGTTATTATTTGCGTCTAAATCATCCCAAACTGGACTTCCTGGACCCCAACCTGCTGGTATTGCATTAAACCAAGCCTCAGCCATTTCATTTTCACCCCATACCAATTCAGTTGATTGTAATGATACACCTTGAACTTGAACTTCATCACAAGCAGTCACCTCGCTCGATCCCATTCCAGAGTCCTCGTCTTGATTATCAACTTCAGGTGGTGGCTGCGGTGGCGGAGGCGGAGGCAGTAACTCAATATTTAAAGGTTCCAGCGGAAGGCTTTCTGATTCTTGATCAGGCTGCTTTGTATGAGTTGATTCAATAGTTTCTATCGATGGTCCCTCTCTGTCTTTACCAAGAAACAGTTCAGGGAAATTGAGCTTAGCATTTTCTCCTCTAAGCTTAAACGCCTCGCGATCATAAGCCATAGCTGCATCTTCAGCTGTATCAAAAGTACCAAGCCAAAGACGAGTCCTATTTCGAGGAAGACGAATTTCAGCAACCCATTTACCCCAATGTCTCTGTCTCACTCCTCTGTATAGCTTCGTCGTATTAATAGGTTGTAACTGTGGCCTAAACAAACCCTTGTTATCTTGCCCTAATCTGCTCATCATCATCATTCTCCCCCTCGGACTTAAATTTAGCGTTTCATTCCAATACTGCAACAGTTGCTGCTGATTCTGTGGTTGTCCTAACTCCCCTGCAAAATACGGAGGGTAAGGACATTGTTGAGGTGAAAATGAGATCATTTGCTGCTGATTTTGATTCTGCGGACGAAACAGAGGCGTTGTGTTTGGTCTCATTTGATATAAATTTTCTATTGACTGTTGTGTTCCGTCAAAAGAAAAAGGAAAAACATGCTTTGACGACGACGGAGGAGGAGGAAATGACATGGATATGGGATTATTATAAGGAACGGAGGATTGTGAAAGCGGTTGCTGAGAGTAAGAAGAAGAAGAAGAAGAGGATTGAGAATAGTGTTGGCGTTCGGGACTTTTGATTTTCTTGAAACGCCGTTGGGAAATGGAAGCTTCTTCAAAAACTGGCCTCCTTTGTTGCCTTTCAAAGGTATTATCATCAAAATCCCTGCCTTTATCACAATCCATTTCTTCTGTAATAGCTGTTGTTGATTTACCATAATCCTCTGATGTAGCCATTGTCAAATATTCAATTGCAGAAATAGCACGATTTTGCCACTCGCTCTCTTGAGTTCACAGTGAATGAACTCAACTCTTGAATATAATTAGAGATGGTTTGAAAAACCCAATCCGTAAAAGAGGTATCTAATCAAAACCAAGATCTTAATTTGGTCGAAAATATAAAAAAAAGTGGTCTGAATTTTAATTAGATATGGTAAAACTAAGAGAAAACAGAGGAAAGAAAGAGCTGAATTGGTGAACAAACCATCCCAAAATGTAGGCAAGAGATATTTTTCGGAGAGAGAGAGCGAGCGGCGTCGAGTAAAGAGAGAAGAAAAATCCAACTTGGTAAATTGTTGTAGGTATTGGCAGTGTGAAAATGAAGGTGTGGATTAGCAAGTAAAAGAAGGGGAGAGGAGGGGAAGTTGATTTTTAGATTTGTGAGAGAAAGGGAGAGGCAGGGGAAATGAGAATAAATATAAGAGAGTGGGGGGACGAATGAAAAGGATTTGAAAGGAGTTTAGAAACATCCAAATCCAACTCTTAAGTTTGGTCTGTGGGCTGTGGCAGCTTATTTGGACCCACGCGGCTTCTTCTTTTTCTATTTCCGTTGCTTCCACTCCAACCTTCTTCAACTGTGTTCCTTCCACTATATCCCCTTTCTATTTTTTTTTTTAATGTAAAATTATCGCTCTCTAAATAATTGCTGACAAAATATTTTTATTTCTAGTTATACATATATTGATGTATATTTGACAAGGGGAGAATTGTTAGGTGTTTGTCCTAATTTTCTTATCATATACTACCTCCGTTCTAGTTTATGTGAACATATTTCCTTTTTAGTCCGTTCCAAAAAGAATGACTCATTTCTAAATTTGAAAACAATTTAACTTAACTTACAATTCTACCCTTAATAAGAAGCTTTTATAACCACACAAATACTTTGAGGCCCTTTTTGACTTGTTTAGGACCACAAATTCCAAAAGTCTTCATTTTTTCTTAAACTATGTACCCAGTCAAATAGGTTCACATAAATTGGAATGGAGGGAGTATTGGCTTTCGTATCTCTTAAAGGAAAGGGCAACATATTTACCATAATTGCATTTTTCTTCTTATAGAAGAAAATTGTAAATATTCCATATTTGGCTAATCCATTTTCTTGGAGAAAATTATTTTCACTTCTATCAATTGAGGATCCTTCCTTGTTATTCAGCAGCATCCATAATGTAGCCATATGTGGTTTGATAATCTTGTTTATTGGGAGAACTTTTAGGGACAAATATTAGTGTGTCACTTGTGTTTGCCTCTTCGTGGGGTTGTTCTCTCGATATTTTGTACTCTCTTTTATATAGTGAATTGCTGGTCTCTGCCGTAGATGTAGGTTAATTGACCGAACCACGTTAAATGTTTGTGTCTCTTTTGATATATTTCTCTTCTGTTGTTTAACTTATCGTCGTTCAAGTGTTCCTTTAATAGCTTGCACATGAAACCTGATTTTTCGATCCTAACAAATATAATTATTTTATGTCGATCGACCAAATGTGTAACTTGCCCTTCTTTTTTCTCATTCAATCTCGGAATCTAAATTAGAGACCCCAAGTAATCTAGAACCACTCTCTACCTAAATTTTTTTCATTCCAGGGCTTGAACGCGGGACCTTTAGTCAAGAGTGGAAGAATCATCCATTTCACCACAATGTTTGATAGTTTTTCTCTTGTATCCCTTTACAATACTAGGATCAAATAATTTAATTTATAATTTTATGTAAGACTATAATTTATAATTCTATAATAATTACTATTTAAACATTTAGAGCATATATGAAATGGAAAGAAGGAACTACACATGAAATTTATAAGTCACAATTTTAACAGGCAAAAGATATTTGAATATATAGCAAGCAGGGGCGGCTTAAGGATATGCGGGGCCTAAGGCCAAAATTTAATATGGGGCCTAAATTTTTAAAAGATGATTATAATATACGTTTTATTATTTGAAAATATATTCTTCTAACTTTTTGAAATACAAAATTGTTAATAATCTTTTTTATAATCGATTTTCTCTAATTATCTTTATTCAATTGATAATATAGTCAGCTCATTTAATTTTTCTTGAGATATTGTTAATATTAGATAATAGTTTATAGAACAATAAAAGTATAGAATTATTGGAAGCTTAAAAGTATTGTTGAACAGTGGAGCTAATGAAATTTTGTAGAAAGAAAGTGAGCAATGAAATATTAGAAAAAGAAGGTAAGTAAGAATATTAAAGACAAAGACAGAAAATATATAGGGGTTTCTGAAATATAAAGAGATTGGAGAAAAGAAAGATTGACTTGGACATATTAAGAAAGGGAGGGTGAATTTTTGTATACATTATCTAATGAAGGAGTAAAACTGAAACGTTGCGAAAACTATTCATCTATCCATTTTTAAATATGTCAAATTATTACTTTATTTACGTACCTAAAGAGCTCTATTTTCTTTTATATTAAAAACTCTAATTTTGCATTAAAAAGTACTAAATATCATTTTTTAAATACCTATAAACCTATTCTTTTTAAAAAATGGGGCCCCCTAAATTTGGGGGCCTAAGGCACATGCCTTACCCCTCATCACGTTAGAGTCGGCCCTGATAGCAAGCATCGAATGGTTTGACTCCTTAAAATGGTGTCATATAGAATAAAATAATAGGATATATTTTTCTATGTTTATCCTTGTCACGACCCAAACTAACCCTGTCGTGATGGCGCCTATCGTGGAACTAGGCAAGCCGACTCATTTCCAAAACAAACCGATATTTTTATTTCAAAGATAATTTCAAGGTTATCTAACATAAAAAAAACTTTGTAAAGGAGTTCAAATCAAAACAAAAGTACGGAAAGAAAAGCCCGACATCGGGGTGTCATTAGTCATGAGCATCTACTATAATTTATCTGACAATATCGAGACTAACATAGTCTGAAAAATAGCTAAATACAACTAAAGGAAGATAAGAAGGAGAAGAGCAGGGCTGCGATCGCCAGACAGCTACCTAGCTATCCCCGAGAAAATATGCAACCGGAATAGTCAACAACCGCTATCGTATCCAGCTACACCTGGATCTGCACACAAGGTGCATGGAGTAACGTGAGTACACCAACTCAGTAAGTAACAACAATAAATAAAGACTGAGCAGTAGTGACGAGCAATAAGCATATAAAGTTCATATCATGAAATCTCAGTAAAATACCACATGCTTTTAAAATCAGGGTTTGAATCAGAATATCTCGTTTAAACCCAGTTCCAGTAAAATCATTTAAAGATATTTTTCAACAGTTTTCAAACAAAGGCTCAATGCAAGGTAAGCAAAACTGATGAAATCATAAACAGCTCATCAGGCAAAAACATCACTCATATACAGCCCCTCGGGCAAACCTCACAGTCACTCGTATACAGTCCCTCGGACATACCTCACAATCACTCGTAAACAGCCCCTCGGGCATATCTCACTATCACTTATGCCTCCCAGTCACTCAGTACTCGGCACTCGCACTCAGTAGGTACCTGCACTCACTGAGGGTGTGTACAGACTCCGGAGGGGCTCCTTCAGCCCAAGCGTTATATCAAGCCATAATTATGGCATAAATCAGTCAGGCCCTCGGCCTATATCAAAACATGCTGCGACGTGCAGCCCGATCACATAAATATCCTCATAAATCAGGCCCTTGGCCTCACTCAGTCATAAACCTCTCAAGCCACTCGGGCTCTCAGTAAAACAGGGTATTCAGTCCAAAATAACATTTATATGCATCAAAACAGAGTAATAAAAATTGAATTATGCAGTAAACAGGTATAACCATGATTGAGTATAGATTTTCAATCGAAAACAGTGAGAGGATAGTAAAAAAAGGCCCCTAAGGGTCAAAATAACACTGGCACAAGGCCCAAACATGGCATTCAGCCCAATTTACAGAAACTCGTTCTAAAACACATAAGTATCATATAGTTTCAATAAAATATGCAACTTTACAGTTGCTACGGGACGGACCAAGTCACAATCCCCAATAGTGCACGCCCATACGTCCATCACCTCATATAGTAAAATGATACGAAATCCGGGGTTTCATACCCTCAAGACTAGATTTACAATCGTTACTTATCTCAAATCGATCAAATCTTTACCCCGCGATGCTCTTGTCTCTCGACTCGGCTTCCAAATGCTCCGAATCTATTCACAATCAGTACAATACCATCAATATACACTAATAGAATGAATTCCATAAGAAAAACTATCAATTTAGACCAAAAACCCGAAATTGGCTCAAACCTGGCCCCCGGGCCTACGACTCGGAATCGGGTAAAATTCACAAATTACGAACGCCCATTCACTCACGAGTCCAACCATACTAGTTTCACTCAAATCCGACTTCGAATCGACATTCAAATCCCAAAAATTTATTTTATGAAGTTTCTATAATTTTTCCCAAATTTCCACCTCAAAGTACTAATCAGATGATGAAATCATTGATATATTCATGTATATTAAGCAAATTCGAGTTAGAATCACTTATCCCGATGAATTTCTTGAAAAATCCATGAAAAATCGCTACAAACCGAGCTCCCTAGGTCCAAAATGTGAAATAATACCCTAAACCCCATTTATATAGTGCGCTCTCTGAACTCCCACTATGCGGTCCGTGAAATTCCAAGCGCGGTCGCGCCTCCCAGGTCCTGCGGTCGTGAAAAACTGGTGCGGTCGCACTTTTTGGTGGTTGCACTGCCTGACTTTAGTATTTTGGTCATAACTTTCTTTACAGATGTCCAAATGATGATTTCCTTACCTTTTTGGAAACTAGACACGAAGAGCTACAACTTTCATTTTTGAATCATCTCAAAATTCCTTGTAGATCAAACGATATAGGCTTCCAAAGTCGGACCAGCGGATATACATAACTTTTCCTCGGAGTGCGGCCGCGGCAGAATTATGTGGTCCGCGAAATTCTGCTGAGGTCCGCGAAATTCAAAGCACGAGAACCATACCTGAGTTCCGAAAATGCCCGAACTGGCTCAAAACTCACCTTGAAACACACCCGAGGCTTCCGAAACCTCAACCAAAGGTACCATCAAGTCCTAAAATACCATACAAACTCAATCGAGCTCTCGAATCACATCAAACAATAAAAAAAACATAAATCGCAAACCAATTCAAGCTTAATGGACTTGAAATCTCAAACTTCCACAACCGATGCCGAAACCTATCAAATCTCGTCTGAATAACCTCAAATTTTGCACACACGTCACAAATGACACTACGAATCTAATCTAACTTCGGAATTCAATTCCGACTCTGATGTCAAATTTTTCACTGCCGATCGGAAATTACCAAAATTTCAATTTCGCCAATTCAAGCCTAATTCTACCACGGACCTTCAAATTATATTCCGGACACGCTTTCAAGTCCAAAATCACCTAACAGAGCTATCTGAACCAAAAAAA